TACACACAGAAGGTTTTACACAGAGAAGTCTTTACTCTAAGGTGCTTTTTCAGACAAGCGTCTAGGATCTTTTACTCACAGAAGTTTTTACACGAAGAAGTCTTTACACAGAGGGCTTTTTACACACAGACGCGTTTGCACACAGAAGCTTTTACACAGAGAAGCCTTTACACAGAGGAGCGTTTACACACCAAAGAGTTTACACACAGCAAGCTTTTACACACGCAGGGGCTTTTACACAGAGAAGCCTTTACACAGAGCAGCTTTTTACACACAGAAGGTTTTACACAGAGAAGTCTTTCCTCTGAGGAGCTTTTTCACACAAATGTCTTGGAGCTTTTACACACAAAAGCTGTTACACAAAGAAGTCTTTACACAGAGAGCTTTAACACACAGACGCGCTTACAAACAGAAACTTTTACACAGAGAAGCCTTTACACAGAGAGTTTTTACACACGGAAGCTTTTACACACAGAGAAATCTTTACACAGACGTGCTTTCACAATTTCACACAGAGAAGCTTTTACACAAAGAAGTCTTTACACAGAGAATCTTTTACACACGGAAACTTTTACACACAAAAGCTTTTACACAGAGAAGTCTTTGCACAGAGGCGCCTTTACACGAAGTAACAAGTTGAAATCGGCAGCAGTTCTTTAGGAAAAACCCTTCGCAGGAGCTTTCGGGAACTCACTTGCTCCCAAAAAAATCGTCTATTCCAACAAATACGTTCCAAAAAACCTAAGGAATATATTTCTGAAGCAAGTCCTCATTCAGTAACTTTCACGCCCACACTGCGATGAAATGGAGGGCCGAGTGGTCCGGCGGAGCCGACGAGGGGCGTCAGCCCAAAAATTCGGCTCCGCCGGCTCCCCACGAGTGGCTTGCCGTACGAGCGTCCCAGAGCGACTAGAGCTCTAAGGTGAGGCGCGCCCCAAGCCGCCGACCCTCCGACGCCGGGCCCCAAAAAACACCCAAAATCCTTCAGGAGGGTGAGGGAGAGCTTTTTGGCCGGGATCCGGGTCGCTCATAAGCGTCTCCAAGAGCAAAATCCCGCCCCCCCCCCGTTTTGAGGGTACCTAAAATCGAAAAAAAGTGACGTTTTGACACATTTTTCGGACGATTTTCAGCTTTTCGAAAGTCACAAAATGCTGTAAATTACAGCATTTTTGCGTTTTAACGTCTTTTGCGGGAGCAATGCAAAAACGCAGAAAATGCTGTAAATACCAATACTTTTTTGACCCGAGATGCACAAAACACTACAAATACCAGTGTTTTTGAAAGCCAAGCCAAAAAACACTGTAAATTACAGCATTTTTGGCAAGTTTATCGCAAAAAATGATGGTATTTACACTGTTTTTGCAATTTCAAGAAAACGTGGAAGGCACGAAACACTGTAAATAGCAGTGTTTTAGCCACTTTTGGACGCTGAAACGCTGGTATTTACGCAGTTTTTTGCCCGTGACGGCGCCAAACCCCTGTAAATTACAGCATTTTTTGCACTTTTTGAACCGATTTTTTGCCTTGATGAACGCAAAAAACGCTGGTATTTACGCGTTTCCCAAAAAATCGAAGATCGTGACGTGAACGAAACCCTGTAAATAACAGGTATTTACGCGGGTTCTTGCCAGCTGACAGCGCAATATGCTGTAAATTACAGCACTTTGTGCGCTGTTTATGTTCAATTTTTAAACACGCGATGCTTTCACATGTTCTTTGCATTATTTTGCACTCTTCCACAAGAAACAACGTTGCAGATTGAAACTGGACGACAGCGTGACCCGAAAGAAAGCTGGAGGGAGGAGACGCACAGAAGCTTTTACCCACACAGGGGCTTTTACACAGAGAAGTCTTTACAAAGGAGCTTTTTACATACAGAAGGTTTTACACAGAGAAGTCTTTACTCTAAGGTGCTTTTGCAGACCAACGTCTAGGAGCTTTTACTCACAGAAGTTTTTACACGAAGAGGTCTTTACACAGAGGACTTTTTACACACAGACGCGTTTGCACACAGAAGCTTTTACACAGAGAAGCCTTTACACAGAGGAGCGTTTACACACCAAAGCGTTTACACACAGCAAGCTTTTACACACGCAGGGGCTTTTACACAGAGAAGCCTTTACACAGAGTATCTTTTTACACACAGAAGGTTTTCCACAGAGAAGTCTTTCCTCTGCGGAGCTTTTTCACACAAACGTCTTGGAGCTTTTACACACAAAAGCTGTTACACAAAGGAGTCTTTACACAGAGAGCTTTAACACACAGACGCGTTTACACACAGAAACTTTTACACAGAGAAGCCTTTACACAGAGAGTGTTTACACACGGAAGCTTTTACACACAGAGAAATCTTTACACAGACGGGCTTTCACACAAAGAAGCTTTCACACAAAGAAGTCTTTACACAGAGAATCTTACTTTTACACACAAAAGCTTTTACACAGAGAAGTCTTTGCACAGAGGCGCCTTTACACGAAGTAACAAGTTGAAATCGGCAGCAGTTCTTTAGGAAAAACCCTTCGCAGGAGCTTTCGGGAACTCACTTGCTCCTCAAAAAACGTCTATTCCAACAAATATGTTCCAAAAAACCTAAGGAATATACTTATTTCTGAAGCAGGTCCTCATTCAGTAACTTTCACGCCCTCACTGCGATGAAATGGAGGGCCGAGTGGTCCGGCGGAGCCGACGAGGGGCGTCAGCCCAAAAATCCGGCGACGCCTCGCCGTGTAGTGTGGGGAAGCTAAGCATAGCTTTAGCTATCCGGGGGCGCGCCCCTGCCGCCGACCCTCCCCAAAAATCCTTTAGCCTGGTGGGGTTTTCACGTTTTTCGGGGTCTGGGGTGGACAAAAAGAGGGTAAAATTTGAAGATGCGTTTTGGAGGTCCCAAAAATCGGAAAAAAGTACCGTTTTGACACATTTTTCGGACGATTTTTCGCTTTTCGGAAGTCACAAAATGCTGTAAATTACACCATTTTTGCGTTTTAACGTCGTTGGCGGGAGCCATGCAAAAACGCAGAAAATGCTGTAAATACCAATGCTTTTTGGACCCGAGATGCACAAAACACTGCAAATACCATTGTTTTTGACAGCCAAGCAAAAAAACATTGTAAATTACAGCATTTTTGGCGGGTTGATCGCAAAAAATGCTGGTATTTACAATGTTTCTGCAATTTCAAGCAAACGTGGAAGGCACGAAACACTGTAAATAGCGGTGTTTTGGCAACTTTTGGACGCCGAAACGCTGGTATTTACGATTTTTTTGGCTTGTGACGGGGCCACTCCCCTGTAAATTACAGCATTTTTTGCACTTTTTGAACCGATTTTTTGTCTTGATGAATGCAAAAAACGCTGGTATTTACACGTTTTTCAAAAAATCGAAGATCGTGATGTGAACGAAACTCTGTAAATAAGAGTGTTTTAGCCACTTTCGGGGACTAAAACTGTGGTATTTACACGGGTTCTTACCATCTCACAGCACAAAATGCTGTAAATTACAACACTAGGCACAGGCCATAGGCCAACATAGCCTCAAGATGGGCCAACATAGCCCCAAGATGGGCCAACATAGCCCCAAGATAGGCCGCCGACCCTCAGCATGTCATGTTCGCAAGTTCAGATGACATCCCCCTCTCTCTTTCCCTCCCCCGACCCCTACCGGCGTCGCCGGTGTGCGAAGCTCTACAATTAACATCTTATAACATCTTGTAACATCTTGTAACATCTTGTCCTAAGGCATGAATGGGTTTATGACCCACTTACTAACCAGTTCACTAACTCCATGTCCCATCTAATGATCAAAAGAGAGACTGTGGAAGCATCATACATCAATAATCCGATTGCATATTGTACAAATCCTTTTACACTTCCTGCCTTGGTTGCTCTGGATTGCGCGGAATACAGAAATACTGCTTTCAAGTTGGCAAGAAAGGATATGAAAGGATTCATTATGATTCAACCTTGATGCCGGTTTCTTTGCAATAACAGATAACACCAGAGTGATCAGAGTTTCGATATCAACTATCAACAAATGTGGGACTTACAATTCGCCGATCACGTGGTGCCCGAGTCTGCGTCTTGCCACATACAATTCGGCTTTTCCACAAGTCAAAAAGGCAAACGAGGGAGTACATGTGTGAAAACATGTGAAAACTACAGTATGTGTTCTTATGCACTCTACTACGTATGTCGCGCAAGGGACTATGAAATCGCATGAAAATGGTCTTGCCTAGCCACCAGTCTTGCCCAGGGCATTCTTCAAGCCTGCCTCTTCTACCATTGCCGACACGTTTCTTTTCACCAGTTCCAGATTGTAGTGCTAGTCCAGAAGGCAACCATTGGTTTGAATATGGTGCAGGCAAGGATCATCAAAAGCAGTGCATTGCAGAAGCCACTGGCTGAAAATGCCCAAACCCATCGCGGAAGCCCATCTCGTGGCCCATTTCTCGGGACGACTCAGCCGCTGACATCATTGGCTGCAGACTACCCGGGTTTTCAACTTCGGACTTCGTAGCCACAGCCAGCTGCAATATCTCCCACTCGAAGGTCTGCAACTTCCAAAAAGAATCGATGCTGAGTCCACAAGGTCGCCGAGAGATACGAATTTGCTGGGCCACTGGGTGCCATGCAGACGGGTAAAAAAAAGGGATTGAACTAGTGAGGTGCTCTCCAAATTTTCAAGAGGCCAGACCGTCAAAATGCGTGTTTGCTTCCCAGTAGAGTCCGTCTATATTCTGACAAAACAATGGACCCCAAGCAACTCCGGCACTTCTTCACAAGCTACATCAATTCATCGGTGTAGAAATACCCTTCTGATCCCTTCTGCATTCTGGCACACTGTTGCATTCATGTTACATCTCAGATTTATGCTTAAACGACCAGCCATCCTCTCCACACCTGCAGTTGGCAAGTATCCCATGTACCCTGGGGCCCAGTATGGTCCAGTTTTTTCTTGAACGATTCTGCCCTGCCACCAGGACCCTCTCCAAACTCAGCAGTGGGGCCTTTGTTATACTTGGTGCCAACGACGCTGGTGTCTACCTTTGCCATGAAGTCCTGACAGATCAGGGAGCGCTGTGAAAATGATTGAAAATGTCAGGCTGAAACACAGCTTCAGAGCTCCTTCAGCAGAGGTACGCAAGCTTGGGTGTACAAATAGCCTTGGCCATCAAAGAACTTGCAGCTTTCTTGCCATTTAGATATTGTTTAGAGAGAGAGGGAGAGATCCATTTGGATCTATTTCTACAGATCCATTTGCAGTGAGGAGGTTCTCAACTTGGAAGGTCACCCAAATCAGAGCTTCTCACAAGCAATTGAGGATCCAACAACCATACTCGGCAGTGTCAGAAATGACCTTGTTCATCTCGTAGAGTTTCCTGAGTTCACAAGGTGTTTCAATGGCTTTCTGCTGTCCTGTGATTTCTCTGGAGGTTGGCCATTAATTGACAAAACGGTACAAATTAATTGAAGGTGCAGCAAACAAGGCGACTGAGCCATTTGGGAATGCCACCAGAAAAACTCGGAGAAGGAAATGAAGTTAAATTCAGAGTACAGATGTTGCCGGAATGTACATCAACATTTACCTGGGAAGCTTTCCCTACTGGACCTCCGTACATCAACGGCGGGAGAAAGTTACCTCAATTGTTTTGCCCCATGTAACTCCGCGCGATCCCTGTCATATGTCTTAACAACGGGGGTTTTAATTGCATCAACTGTTGTAGTTACTATGGGGGGAACATCATATGGGTAGACATTTACATGTTGGCTTTCACCGGTTTGTTGAATCCTTTCCGCATGCTCCAATCATTCTTGCGGTGAGCATTCGATTTCAAACATTCAGGCCCGTCAATGTTTCCAAGCTCAAACAGAACCCTGACAGCTTCAATCATCTTTTCCCCATCATTCCAGTATGGCAAAGGTATTTCAGATTTATCTTTTTTAGCCAAGAAACTTTCTTGCGATGGTGTTGGCGATAAGAGGCGTCTCATGCAAGGATTCGTAGTAGGCACTCTCGGGCTTCATGCCAACCTCTCCATCTCAGAAACATCCATGTTCGCACAGTCTGCATCAGAAACCGCTATTGAATGCTATTGAGACTTAGCAGCGATTCACGTGCAGCTTCTAGGATACCCATTTTGACAACAACGCAACTAGAGAGTCCATATGAGTAATCTGATTTCTGGACCAAGGCTCAACAACATTCATGGGGATTCAACCCTCCCTAAAGATAGCTGGTCAGTAAGCCACCATTCGTGTTTGGTCCTGTTGGTGCTTGATAAGCCCTTAATGACCCCTCTTGGGGTCTCCTTTAGGGCTTGGCTCCCACCTTGACCATCTCCTCGAAGGCCAATTCTACACCTGCCTGGGGTGATCTACCAACCATGGGTCAACCATGGATCCAGCTTAACATGAAACATGTTGAAACATGTTGAAACATGTTGAAACATGTTGAAACATGTTGAAACATGTCTCCATCATTCTGAAATATTCTGAATCAATAAAATCTGCATGGCATCGGTTGTTAAGACTGCACTCAAAGTGGACCAAGTTGGACCAAGTTGGACCAAACCGCTGGAAGTTTGGCCTTGATCATGGCCACCATGAGGATAGCGTTGTCGAAGTACTCTTGCTCCTTTGAGCACCATCCCCAACAAAATCATGAAATTTTGGAATGATTGGAATGATTGGAATGATTGGAATGATTGAGATTCGAACTATTCAAGCAAACATGACAGACATATAGAAGCATTGAAGAACAAAGTGTGAACTTGTTGTTAGCTGCTCAACAGCCAGGCACACTGTGAGTAGTGAGTCCTTGATTTGCATGCTGCCAGCAGGGGTCTTCTCAAAGCCAGTCTCAGCAGTCTCTTGTCTCCACTTCAGCAAGTTGGCATCCTGAGTTCATCTCAAATTCCTTTCCTCTTCTGCAAAGGAGAGTCCTCTTCATGTTTTCCCCTCAAAGGCGATTTTGTTTGTGCATCAGCTGGAAGGGAGGGGTTTCAATCTTGGTGACACCGGCTCCTATGATTTCATGGACTCTTCCCCAGGATTCAGCAGCCGTCAAACCAAGCCAAACACGCCATTCCTTCGTCAAGGCTAGCATTGGCCAGCCCTGCCAACTAACTGGGCAGCATCCACTTCCCTTCACCAAAAAAGAGAGATAGAGCCTTGCACAGTTTGCAGCTAAAGGTCATCGTTGTCCCAATCCTTCATCATGGTCTCGGAGAAGACTCCGGTGATGATGTCATCCTGATGTTTGGCCTTGGCAAGTGGATCATTGTCTGTATATCAAAGTCGAAAGAAATAAAATGAAATTGCAAATAAATATGTATATATATAAATATCCGCCGACCCCGGCCGACCGCAAGGGGGAGCGCGCCAGGGAAGAGAGGTTGTGGACAACAAGAAATACAACAACGGGTCGGGGACCAGCAGCAGCAGCAAAAGCCTCTGCAGCAGCAGGAGGAAAAGGTAGCCAAAATTCATAGCAGCAGCAAGAGGAAAAAGCAACCAAAATCATCATTTTCTATGCGTTTTCGTTAGGCATTTATGGGGTGCAATTTTGGGGTTTCTCCGTCCTTCACTGCCATGGTGTTTTCCCATCCAGCAGCAGCCAGCAGCAGGCAGGAGCAGGCAGCAGCAGGCAGCAGCAGGAGCGGCAAAGTTTCAATTTTATAGTAGGGTTTCAGAAGTGACGTTAGGCCCTTTTTTGGGGTTCCATTGCTACGTTTTTGCTCTTTCGGATGTGTTTCGAAAAGGGTGTCTGGCTGTTTGTTTCTTGCTTTGGAGGCTGTTTGATTGCAGCAGCACCACAGCAGCAGCAGCAGGAGCAGCCACCAGTAGCAGCACCAGCAGCAGGCAGCAACAGGCAGCAAGCAGCTTCTGCCAGCAGCATGCAGCAGCAGGCAGCAGCAGGCAGCAGCAGGCAGCAGCAGGCAGCAGCAGGCAGCAGCAGGCAGCAGCCAGCAGCAGCCAGCAGCAGGCAGCAGCAGGCAGGAGCAGGCAGCAGCAGGCAGCAGCAGGCAGCAGGCAGCAGCAGGCAGCGGCAGGCAGCGGCAAAGTTTCAATTTTATAGTAGGGTTTCAGAAGTGACGTTAGGCCCTTTTTGGGGTTCTGCATTCAACGCTGCGGCACGCTTGCGGATGGCAGCTTGGACTGTGGCCACATGACATGCGTTGCAGACCCGTGTGCCATGTTGACCCCGGCCGACGCAAGGGGGAGCGCGCCAGGGAATAAGACATTTTCCGCCGACCATTTGGAAGCTTGCAACAGCAGCAGCAGCAGCAGGCAGCAGCAGGCAGCAGTAGGCAGCAGCAGGCAGTCACAAAGCCATGCAGCTTGTACTTATAAGGGTAAGCAGCAGGCAGGCAGCAGCAGCAATATGATGTTTCGCAGTCCGGGGCCCGCGTTTTTGTAGTCTAGGATTCCCGAAGAGATTCTCTAGGATTTAGGATTCTCTAGGTAGCAGCCAGCAGCGAGTAGCCAGCAGGGCCAGCAGTCAAGAAGCAGGTAGCAGGCAGCCAGTCGAAGCCTGATGCACAAAAAAAGAGATATTTTTTCTAGGAATTCAGAAGGGGCGTTAGGCAGTTTTTGTGGGTAAGTTTGAGCACGGTTTCGGCACGCAATTAGGTGCTGTTTTGCTGTGGCGAAGGGTCCCTTCTGGAAGCCTGATGCTTGCAGCTTGGAGCTACCAAACAAGAGCTGCAGGAGACAAATAAAGAGATATTTTTTCTAGGCATTCAGAAGGGACGTTAGGCAGTTTTTGTGGGTAAGTTTGAGCACGGTTTCAGCACACAATTAGGTGCTGTTTTGCTGTGGCAAAGGGTTCGTTCTGGAGGGCTGATGCTTGCAGTTTGGAGCCACCAGACAACAGCTGCAGGAGACAAAAAAAGAGAAAAACATTTTTCTAGGAATTCAGAAGGGGCGTTAGGCAGTTTTTGTGGGTAAGTTTGAGCACGGTTTCGGCACGCAATTAGGTGCTGTTTTGCTGTGGCGAAGGGTTCCTTCTGGAAGCCTGATGCTTGCAGCTTGGAGCCACCAAACAACAGCTGCAGGAGACAGAAAAAGAAATTTTTTCTAGGAATTCAGAAGGGGCGTTAGGCAGTTTTTGTGGGTAAGTTTGAGCACGGTTTCGGCACGCAATTAGGTGCTGTTTTGCTGTGGCGAAGGGTCATTTTTGTGGGGAAGTTTGAGCACGGTTTCGGCACGCAATTAGATGCTGTTTTGCTGTGGCGAAGGGCCCCTTCTGGAAGCCTGATGCTTGCAGTTTGGAGCTACCAGACAACAGCTGCAGGAAACTAAAAAACAAAAAAAGATAGATTTTTTCTAGGAATTCACAAGGGGCGTTAGGCAGTTTTTGTGGGTAAGTTTGAGCACGGTTTCGGCACGCAATTAGGTGTTGTTTTGCTGTGGCGAAGGGTTCCTTCTGGAAGCCTGATGCTTGCAGCTTGGAGCCACCAAACAAGAGCTGCAGGAGACAGAAAAAGACAGACATTTTTTCTAGGAATTCAGAAGGGGCGTTAGGCAGTTTTTGTGGGTAAGTTTGAGCACGGTTTCGGCGCACAATTAGGTGTTGTTTTGCTGTGGCGAAGGGTCCGTTCTGGAAGCCTGATGCTTGCAGCTTGGAGCCACCAAACAACAGCTGCAGGAGACAGAAAAGAGAATTTCTTCTAGGAATTCAGAAGGGACGTTAGGCAGTTTTTGTTGATAAGTTTGAGCACGGTTTCGGCACGCAATTAGGTGCTGTTTTGCTGTGGCGAAGGGTCCGTTCTGGAGGGCTGATGCTTGCAGCTTGGAGCCACCAAACAGCAGCTGCAGGAGACAGAAAAAGAGATTTTTTCTAGGAATTCAGAAGGGACGTTAGGCAGTTTTTGTGGATAAGTTTGAGCACGGTTTCGGCACGCAATTAGGTGCTGCTTTGCTGTGGCGAAGGGTCCGTTCTGGAGGACTGATGCTTGCAGCTTGGCGCCACCAAACAAAAGCTGCAGGAGACAGAAAAAGACAGACATTTTTTCTAGGAATTCAGAAGGGACGTTAGGCAGTTTTTGTGGATAAGTTTGAGCACGGTTTCGGCACGCAATTAGGTGCTGTTTTGCTGTGGCGAAGGGTTCCTTCTGGAAGCCTGATGCTTGCAGCTTGGAGCCACCAAACAACAGCAGCAGGAAACAAATAAAATAAAAAAGAGAAATTTTTTCTAGGAATTCAGAAGGGGCGTTAGGCAGTTTTTGTGGGTAAGTTTGAGCACGGTTTCGGCACGCAATTAGGTGCTGTTTTGCTGTGGCGAAGGGTCATTTTTGTGGGTCAGTTTGAGCACGGTTTCGGCACGCAATTAGATGCTGTTTTGGTGTGGCGAAGGGTCCGTTCTGGAGGCCTGCTGCTTGCAGCCTGAAGCCACCAAACAACAACTGCAGGAGACAGAAAAAGAAATTTTTTCTAGGAATTCAGAAGGGGCGTTAGGCAGTTTTTGTGGATAAGTTTGAGCACGGTTTCGGCACGCAATTAGGTGCTGTTTTGCTGTGGCAAAGGGTTCGTTCTGGAGGGCTGATGATTGCAGCTTGGAGCTACCAGACAACAGCTGCAGGAAACAAAAAAACAAAAAAAGATAGATTTTTTCCAGGAATTGAGAAGGGGCGTTAGGCAGTTTTTGTGGATAAGTTTGAGCACGGTTTCGGCACGCAATTAGGTGCTGTTTTGCTGTGGCGAAGGGTTCGTTCTGGAGGGCTGATGCTTGCATGCAACTTGCAGCCACCAAACAAGAGCTGCAGGAGACAGAAAAAGTCGACATTTTTTCTAGGAATTCAGAAGGGACGTTAGGCAGTTTTTGTGGATAAGTTTGAGCACGGTTTCGGCACGCAATTAGGTGCTGTTTTGCTGTGGCGAAGGGTCCGTTCTGGAGGGCTGATGCTTGCAACTTGCAGCCACCAAACAAGAGCTGCAGGAGACAGAAAAAGACAGACATTTTTTCTAGGAATTCAGAAGGGACGTTAGGCAGTTTTTGTGGATAAGTTTGAGCACGGTTTCGGCACGCAATTAGGTGCTGTTTTGCTGTGGCGAAGGGTCCATTCTGGAAGCCTGATGCTTGCAGTTTGGAGCCACCAGACAACAGCTGCAGGAAACAAATGAAATAAAAAAGAGATATTTGTTCAAGGAATTCAGAAGGGGCGTTAGGCAGTTTTTGTGGGTAAGTTTGAGCACGGTTTCGGCACGCAATTAGGTGCTGTTTTGCTGTGGCGAAGGGTTCCTTCTGGAAGCCTGATGCTTGCAGCTTGGAGCCACCACACAACAGCTGCAGGAGACAGAAAAAGATATTTTTTCTAGGAATTCAGAAGGGGCCGGGCGTTAGGCAGTTTTTGTGGGTAAGTTTGAGCACGGTTTCGGCACGCAATTAGGTGCTGTTTTGCTGTGGCGAAGGGTCCGTTCTGGAGGGCTGATGCTTGCAGCTTGGAGCCACCAAACAGCAGCTGCAGGAGACAGAAAAAGATATTTTCTCTAGGAATTCAGAAGGGACGTTAGGCAGTTTGTGGGGATAAGTTTGAGCACGGTTTCGGCACGCAATTAGGTGCTGTTTTGCTGTGGCGAAGGGTCCGTTCTGGAGGGCTGATGCTTGCAACTTGCAGCCACCAAACAAGAGCTGCAGGAGACAGAAAAAGACAGACATTTTTTCTAGGAATTCAGAAGGGACGTTAGGCAGTTTTTGTGGATAAGTTTGAGCACGGTTTCGGCACGCAATTAGGTGCTGTTTAAAATTGCCACAACTTTCAAAGCACACCTAAGTAAGTTTGAGCACGGTTTCGGCACGCAATTAGGTGCTGTTTTGCTGTGGCGAAAGGTCCGATCTGGATGGCTGATGCTTGCAGCTTGGAGCCACCAAACAACAGCTGTAGGAGACAGAAAAAGATATTTTTTCTAGGAATTCAGAAGGGACGTTAAGCAGTTTGTGTGGATAAGTTTGAGCACGGTTTCGGCACGCAATTAGGTGCTGTTTTGCTGTGGCGAAGGGTCCGTTCTGGAGGCCTGATGCTTGCAGCTTGGAGCCACCAAACAAGAGCTGCAGGAGACAGAAAAAGACAAACATTTTTTCTAGGAATTCAGAAGGGACGTTAGGCAGTTTTTGTGGGTAAGTTTGAGCACGGTTTCGGTACGCAATTAGTTTCTATTTTGCTGTGAGGAGGGGTCCGTTCTGGAGGCCTGATGCTTGCAGCTTGGAGCCACCAAACAACAGCTGCAGGAGGCAGAAAAGGATATTATTGCTAGGCTTTCAG